TTGAGACTTCATGTGATAACTCCATCAATTAGTTTCTCCTGCCCTTTTCTGGTAAACATCCCCTCTGGGCTTCCTTGTAGCTGTTTATCCTCACTACAGCAACTATTTCATCTTTATGTTTATTTACATAAAACTTAAGAACCAGTCTGGACAGCATGACAAAAGGTCCAGCATTTTGCCCCTAATATCAACATGGTAAAGGGAGGCTTTGTAAATATTTGTGTTGGAAAAGAAGGTAAACAACCAGATAAGCATAAACTCTGCAACATGGTAAGCTTTAAGGAAGTCATTTGTTAGTGGACACAGTGAACACTAACCACGGAACATATATAAATATTGTTAGAGATAAAATAGTGTAGAATCTGTATAGTAAACATTACAGTATTATTTAGGTTTTCTGTACAAAATATTTTTGCAATTGGCAGCATAGTGGTGCGGAGAGTGAATTTGGATTGAGGTGTGAAGGGTGCGGCTCAATGGTAGAGTTCGTGCCTAGTATGCATGACCATCTGGGTTTGATCTTTGGTACTGAAGGAAAAAGTATGGTGTAGGATAGTTAAGTTTGTGTGTTGTTCCAATACGAAGTAGCTGCATGAGGTGGGAGAAAATTACCAACTGCTGAAAAAGTATGAACTTTATCTCATTTTATAGATAAATAAATCTGAAGGTGCGCAGAACGTTTAAAAACCAGTTGATTGTTGGCAGAAGGCGAACCGCTGTTCCTTCCTGAGTGTGGTGTGCAGTCTGCAGTCTGCAGTCTGCAGTCTGCCAGGAATGTTTGCTTTTTCTGTCGTCCTACTTCTACCCATCATCATTCTAACACATTTCCCTCTCAAGTTCCCTTTTTTGCCCAATAGACGCTTCAGCTTCTTGGTGGCTCTGCTCAGTCTTGCTAAGAGCATGAAAGATTAAAGAAGTCTTACTTGAAGCTGGATTCCAAAGGCCCCATGCCAATTATAGGCACAAAAGGCACTTGTCTCAGCAAGTTACTATGGCAACCGAAGAGTTTAGGCCAATTTAGTGGTATGTATTGACTTCCATGGGGGCAGGGAGGGACGGTCTCTCTGTTGAGTCATAACACTTAGCTTGAAACTCTTGCAGGCCAGTGTCTGTCATTTCCATTTAAGAACGTTATGGAACATCAACGGGAACCTGACAGCCATACTCATTTTTTTTTCAACTAAGTGGATTTGTGAACTTCCTTAAACTGTCTTTCCCATGACAGTTACAGAAACTGAGATGTCAACACAGGAATGAAGACAGGTGCTTGATCAATGTTCCCCAAACAACCTCAGATGTGGTTCTTGTTAAAAAGAGGATGTCATGAACTCAAATTTAAAATGAGGTATGTACAATACTAGAGAAAATAACATCAGCTTAGGTTTATCTACACAGAAGTATAAGTAAAGATGAAAATTGGAAAGTGTTATTTTGGCTTAAAAGTGAGCACAAATGAGAGTGGTGTTGATGTGTTTGAGCTCATGGAGTCAAATATATAATCTGAAGTCTGAAGTCTGAAATAAATACAGTAAGACGGATTAGTTTGATTAAGCTTAAAAAATGATGTGGTCCAAATAAATGCGGCAACAATGGGTGAGGCTTGAAAGCATTGTACTAAGAGAAATGATCCAGGCATGTAAATACACACACACACACCACACAACTTTACTTACACAAAATATTCGGTGTGGTAAATTCACAGAAAAAGAAACTGAAATAGGGGTTACTGGGGATGGGAAAGTGGGTAATGAGGAGGTACTCTTTGATGAATAAAGACACCCTGAGAAGATAGACAAGAACAAGGAACTGGCCAGACATCACAGCTGCACGGTATTGTGGATGTAGGTAAAGCCATTGAATCATATTATCATTTTATGTGTATATATTTCACGAAATTAATAAATATGAGGAAATAAACTTGGATATCTGAAGCAAGAGTGTAGAGAAGGAGACTTGGTGGCTATGCAACCACAATTTTCAGATCACTTCATATAGAGTGGTACTCATCTCATCTCTGCCTCTGGCATGATGATACTGTTTTGCACTAAACCAAACTTGAACCAGCATTTAGCCCTACTGGTAGGGTTTTCTGAGGCCCTACTGCCAGGGTACTCAAACTCAACATCCTGTTCTCCACCACCACAGACAACTCTCTAGAAGGGTGCATCTGGAGAGCAGATCCTCAGACCCATTGATCCATACAATGAAGCTGAGAAAGAACATATGGAATATGGTTTAAGTGCTGTAATTGCAGAAAAGCCCCATCTCAACCAAGACAGTCACTATAGCTCTCCTCCAAGCATGGATATTAAGAAGGGAAATAGCCACTTCTGTGATGTGTTTTTTTTTTTTCAGTGTTTTGGCTTTTGTGAAATCTGGCAATTATGATGAACCATTCTTAGGTAGAACTAGCCCTATTTGAGGTTTGCTCTTGTGACATAAGCTATGAGTAAACCAAGTGGCCAGCTGATGGTCATCCCTGACTCTTGCCTGACAGGTAGCCACATTGAAAAGTATTCATCAAAATGCAAATCAGACGCCATGAAGTTCACTGAAACTGAGATAACATATCTCTCAGGACTCCAAATGCCAGTCCCTTCAGGCTGGGCATTTAGCACTGACTTCGACCCTGCGACCCTGTTTGCTAGTCCTCAGTCTGAATGCTTTCAATTCTGGGAGCCCTGTTAAATGTGAACATTCCTGATTTACTACTTGCACCTTGGTTTGGTATTCTGGATCCAAGTGAGAACCACCATGTTCTAAGTCATTTGGATAATTTCTCTTACAGGTGCAGTGGTTCATCTGTCAATTTTCACCAATTTTCACCAACTGGTATTTTCATCTCTTCCCTTTTGCTGTTTTCACTCTTTCTTCCTTTGTGTGAGCTGTGATAAACCGGGCCATTTGGACACCATCTTTGCTTTACTTGTCATTCTGTTAGCTTCTACATGAGGCAGACCTTGGGATGTAAACTTCTACAGTAACTCACCTTCCAAGTAGCCTTACCTTTTCCTCAGCCATAACTCTAAGGACAGCTGAGAGTATACAGACATATTCCCCTCGGCCATCTTTATAGATATTATCTGAGTATGTTTAGAGCCATTTTGAGTGCCATCCTTACGAGCTGACCAAGTATGTTCAAAGGAATACATAGAAATAATAGACCTTGCTAGCAAGTGCCAAGGTACCCGTCCAGCATCATAAAGTCCCCCAGTGGTTGCCAGTGTTGCCTGCAAAGAGTTTTCAGTCTTTCTTAAAAATTACTCCCAGTCCCAAAGTTATTCCCAAGACCTCATCTCTGCTGGGGACAACTGGTACTTGTGGTTGATTGACATTAGAGAAGAAAGACCTTTTCTGCTGATCTTCTGACCTTGCACTGTTCTAAGAACGACTCCGTGGTCAGAGCTGGAGTATGGCCTGTTAAAGCCTTCACTGAGGTATATTAAGACCTCTTCCTCATAATGCCTGATCTTACTTCCTCAACACCCATGACACCAATGGAAACATGAAAACACTCTGTAATCAGTTTACTAGTAATCCTTCTCAGACAAAGCCTGCTCCTCCGGTAACCCCAACTTCAGCACTTGAAACCTCTGGAAGATGATGTCTGCCTGATTGTCTGTTACATGAAGTTTTTGCCCTTAAACTTACGCAAAAGGCTGATAGGCGATACTGTGTTCATTTTAGCACTAAAGGATTGGCACTGCTGAATAGGCAAATATGATGAACAATAGCAAAACAAATTGAAATTAAGGAAGAAGATTGACAACATAAAAATCAGTAAGTGTGAAAACAAACTGAAGTTCTCCCAGCCCACCAAGGAATCACACAGACAGCAGTGAGAGAAAGAGTGTGTGTGAGATAAATTAATCAGATCAACCATGCCACTGAATTTTCAGGGAGAAATAAAAAAACAGAGAAAGAGAGATGATAAAAGAGGCCCCATGTGATTAGATCCCATTAGATGTATTAGTAACTTTTGAACTATTTGATTGATCAAGGGGAGAATAACATCATTTAGAAAATCACAGAATGTTCAAACACTGCTACTTGTGAGTATAAGGCTTATTTCAAGCTACTTGAAAGCCCAGGTATGACAAGGGCCTACTTGAGAGTTCTAAGTTCAAGATTTTTGCATTAACATCATAAAAGATAAAGTGAGCGCTGGTGAGATGGTTCAGAAGGTAGAGGTGCTTGCAGAATAAGCTTGGGGACCTGAATTCATTCTCTGGAGACCACAGAAAGATGACTAGAAAGACCTGACTTTACTAAATTGTCCTCTGACCTCCACATGCACGCAGGCATGGGTGTGTGGACACACACATACACACAAACACACACATATCACATTACAATGCACTCACTACATAATGTGGGAGTCAGCAAAAATGACTCAGTCGGTGAAGGACCCACATGGTGGATGGTGGATGGTGGATGGAGACAGCTAACTCTGGCAATTTGTTCTCTGATGAGCACACACATCCGTAGCAAATAAATGCCATTGTTTGATAGGATGAAGTAAATCTGTGACTGGGAAGAGTTATTAATTCAAGGAAACAAGCAAATAAACAAACAGAAACAGCAGGGTCAGGGCATAAAGGTTACTCACAATCAAATTAAGACTTCATAGGAAATAGAGATGTATTTTCAGGTTAGAATAAGGTGTTCTAAGTTTATAGTCTCATCCCCAAGATTCAACCATACTTAAGCAGCTCCATATTTAAGAAACTCCTACATGGAAAGAAGGGTTCCAGTGAGAATTGTTTGGCAGGTGGTATCTAAAATTACTGGATGTTGAACTGTGCTCTTCAGATATAGAGTGAAGGGAGTGGCAGGGACAAGTGATGCTGGCAATAAATGTAACAGCACAGATATAATAAAGGGAAATGTGCCCGTGACAGTAGGAGAGCATGCATCTTGGTAATGGCAAAGCTACTTCACTCTTAAGAGCGACTGCAACTTCACATGAGAGAAAACTCAACTCGACATGTTTTGCACAACAAGGAAAATTTATTGATTGGACAAAATGTCCCAGCAAAAAGTGGAGCCAGTTCAACAGTTGTTAATCTACCAGTTCAATAACATCTTAGGAAGTTCAATAACATCTTAGGAAGTTCAGCTGCATTCTGTTTATCTTTCTGCTCTATCTTGTCCACACCATCCTTGTCTTCAGATCCCACCACAGCTGCAGCAGGACCAGATGCCAGCAGCCAGAAGAAAGGATGGATGGGGAAACATTCCTCAGAAGTTTTCCAACATAACCTCCTCCCTCATCTCACAGGGCAAAGGGGGGAGTAACTCATTCACTTAACAAATCAGAGGCAAGGACATTCTGATTGTCGTGAGTGGGTAACATAATGTGTATGGAGTTACATCGACTGTTCTAAAAAAAATGGACAGCTATGTAAAATCAGGGTTCTTAAAATAAGACAGGGGAGTGTTTGGTACCCAGCCAACCATGTTCATTTTACCATCTGTCAATGAAGCTGAAGATGTTATGGGAAGTGTGATTCTGTTGTTGACAGACCCATCTGATTTTTTGTTACAATCCAGGAATCTGGGTGTTTATGCAAGATCTTACCATTTAAAAATTATTTCTTATAAACTCAAAACAATCTTTTTTTTTTTAAAAAATAGTGCTGTGTGGCCAGGATCTTTGATTTGGAGCAAATAAAACACATCTGCGATGCAAACCCTGCCCGTAGGTCACCAGTTTGCAACTTCTGGTTTGTGTTCATTTCTTTAACTGAACATTCTCTGTTTTAAAAGGGAAGCTCACTTTTGTCATGCCAGCAGTCAGCACACAAATAATTGGTGACTAAGTTAGTTCATAAAAATATTTTACTCTATTGTAGGAAACTCCCCAAATGGCAAGGTTAATAAAAACTTCAGAATAAAGGATATCAAAGACATATAGAAGAGGAGCTGCTTACATAATTCTAATCTTAAATTGATGTTCTAATTTGACAAGTAGATAGAACCAAGACATTGTTACATGTTTAATAATGAATGCATCCCCCCCAGATTCTTATGATTTTATTCTGTTTTATTTGTATTGCTGTGTGTTTTCATTAGAGGGTGCATCAATCCCTTCCGAAGGCGGAAGGAAATCCAGGTCGTCAAAAATATTTAAGCAGTCACCATCATAGTTAACCAAGGGGTAGGGATCAACTAATTGCAGTTTTATAGTTTATAGATTTCCTTAGCCCTCTTCCTATGAGTATGAGGACAAAGGTTCTCAAAAGTGTGTCTTTCTTGAAAGTTTTAATCTCTTCAAAATACAGCATAAACTAGGCAGTGTTGACCTCTGAGTGCCAAGAGCAATAGTAATAAGGAAGTGGACACATCTCCATCCAAAACATCCAGGCTTCCAATCTGATCATGCGATCATCAACCCTGGCTTAGCTGTTGCTTCAGACTTTTGCGCTTGAGTCCCTTAAAGAAAGAAAAACCTCTTAGGTGATCAAAGCGTCCTAAAAATTCAGCAAAGTCCATAGAGAGATGTAATGTGAAGCTAATAAGAAAATTAAAAGAATTCCTTGAAACCCTGCTCTCTACATTATAAATTATTTAATACATCAGCCATGAAGACCTAGGAACAGCACAAGGTCAGGGTGCAAATAGAGACAACTCTCCCTCTTGGACTTAAATTTCCCTGTGGACAGTTAGCAGAAGGAGGACAGAGGTGGAAGGAGTTACAGAAATAGGAAAAAAGACCATGGCTAATAGATTCCTAAGATGAGGAGTTGCAGGGAGAGTTAAGGGTCTAGGCAAGCGTTTCTGTGGAATGCTGCATCCACTCATACAGTTCTTGTGTTCTTGTTCACTAGTATGAGAAAATAAGGAATTGGGTCACCACAGCTACGTAGATGTGCATTTTTCAGTCTCCCTTTTCTTGGTTATTGAAAAAAAAACCTCATCATTGAGACACTTATGTCAGTCCCTGCCCCAGAGTAAACACCATAGAAGACATGGTAGGGGCTTTGCTCCTTGGCACTAGGGGTGAAAAGAGATAATCATAAATTCATTATTTATCTCTTAAGTGGGTGAAGAAGTGAGTTTATTTTGAAAATAGGAAAATGATTTGGTGCTACTAGGACACAACAGAAAAATAAGTCAGTTAGTAGAGATGGCATGTTTCCCCCTCTCAGCCAAGCTTAGCTCCTTCATGGAATTACTGCCTACCACCTCACTACTCACTTCGGTGCTACCCAAGTGTCTGGGGCCAGTTCCAAGAACAAGGTCAAATACATGGCCTTCTGCTTCACCAGCTCCATTTATATGGACACCACAATGAATTCTCATTAGTACTGCACACTTTGACACTAATAGTATTTGAGGAATTAGGCACACCAGGCATGTGTGACTTGTTTGCTCGCTAATGCTGTGAAACATCCTGACAAAAGGAACTTTGATTCTTTCTCTTTTATACACAACAGAGAGTTAGGCATGAGAACTACTCATGAGTAGCTGGATTCTGCCTTTTGCTTAAAGAACACTTACCTCCATGGATCTATGTTTCAACCTCTACTTCTTAAAGAAATAACAATCACTTCATAAACATCTAATTTTATGTCCTCTATAATGAGCATCCAGAAGCAATTCCTTGGAAGACATTTACCTTGTTCAATAAATTTATCCATTATTTCTCAACAGTCATGAACTGAAAGGACTACTGTGTCATCATAAAGATTCAGTAGCCTTGTGAAATCATTATGGAAGGAGACCTTGCCTTTCCAGGTTCTCCAGAGCAAATGTGCTGTGGTGATGTTAGGTGAGCCTTGGGAGCATTGGCAAAGAGACTGTGGATTAGAGCCAGTTGGCAGAAAATCCATCTGATACTTACGAGGAAACAGGAATTGGTGGTGGTGGGAAATTTGGCTTTGTGGATAGCTAGGAAGAAGATAAAAAGGGAAAGTCAGCTCAGAATAGGCTCTTCAAAATGTGTGTGCACACTGAAAATGTTTAACTCATTCTTAAGAACAGAGACTTTGGAAACTTAACCATGTGAAGAATACTAAGCCCATAAGTGTGACACTTTCCTTTAGTTATGATCCAGACATAAGCACAGGGTCCATGGCTATGTGATGAGGCTGGTTAGTGTGAACTTAATTTTTACATCCACACAAATCATATGTTGATGCCATAATCTCCGGTGTGATGGTTAGGTTTGGGGGCATTCACCTCTTGGAGATGGAGTTCTTAGAATTGGATCAATGAAGATTCAAAAAGATATTTGTATCTCTCCTTTCCCTAGTCTTTCTCCCCTACCCTCATTTCCTTTCCATAATCCTCAACTGATGGACCAGGAATCAGTTCTCACCAGACAGCAGGAAATTCCAGATCTTCAATCTTAGAATTCCCAGTCTCAAGAATGAACATAAATAAATGTTTAACTTATGTAGTCTATGATATTTTTAACTGCATCAACCTAGACTAAAAATGGGTTCTGTGAAGCAAATGAATTGCACTGACTGGTTTTTGCCAACTTCATACAAAACTAGATGTATCTGGGAAGAAGAAAATCTCAAACAAGAACTGCTTCTTTGGAATTGGGCTGTATGTAGATCTGTGGACTATCATCTTGATTAATGATTAATGAGGGAGGAGGAGGGTCCAACCCACTGTGGGTGGTGCCATTCATGAGCAGATAGTCTTGAGTTGTATAAGACATCAGGCTGAGCAAGTCAGAGAAAGCAATCTGAATAGCAGCATCCCTCTATGGCTTCTGCTCCAGTTCCTGCCCTGGCTTTCCCCAGTGATGAACATATAAGCTATAAGCTTAAATAAATCCTTTCCTCCAACTTCTTTTTCTTCATGATGTTTTAACTCAGCAACAGAAACCCCAGTTAAGACATGAGTATTCTGCATTATCAACTTCCACTTCTATGCTCTTAATTTAAGGGATAAACTCAGAAATAAAAATGTAGAGGCATATATTCCCACATTTTGCATTTTAAAGTTTTGCAGAAGAATTTATATTTTACATTAATGTGCACACAAATCTCAACATTCTTCAGAATCAACAGTTGAGCCCTATGGGTTATGTCTTTCAGGAGCATTTCCTTGAGGGTGGGCTGGAGGATAGAGAAGAGAAGCTGCTAACTCACAACATTGGGTGAAGACTCATTCTCCTCAGTGGGCGGAGCTTCTTCAGATACATGGAGCTTCTTCATCTGATTCATCTAAAACGAAGAAATCAAACTTTACAATGAAACCAACAGGTGCTGAAGTACAGTCAGCAGAGAAGTTACCCTTTCCCAGCCTATATGATAAGAGCGAAGCTGAAACTTAGAAATAAATAAGACAGGAGAGATCCCAGGAGCCCAGCTGTAGCATTATAGGAGGATTTCTCCAGGACTTCCAGAGATAACTTCTGTAACGAGCATCACCACTGATGCTGCGCTATTGATCTATTTCAGCTCAAAGTCCTAAACATCTAAGACATGGTAAGAGCTGTAAGTGTCATGCATGTTACATGCTACATGATTGATCATACAAATATACACTTTATGTAGAGAGGAGTTTACCAGAAGTAATACTGAACTTAGAGTCAAAGTGGACAGAGGGAGAGTAAGCTGGAGGGGAGGGCAGAAGAGGTGAAGAAGAGGGAAAGGGAGGGAAGGGAGAAGGGAGGGAGGGAGAAGCTGTTAACATTTCTCCCCTCTATTCTCTTTGAGTTTCACAAGCCCTTTCTGCAAGGGCTGTTTTGAAAATTCTTTTGTGTGTTAACGAGACACTATGGAAAGCTGACTGTTGTGGGCACAGAGTTCACTGTCCTTACTGTCTGCTGATGTGGGGTAGATTTCTAGGCACTGCTCTGCACAAATGACAGACATACAGTCGGAATAATATAAGAAAGGGGTAAATTACAACATCAGGTGTCACAAAAAGAAAACCAGTTCAAACTTGAATTCACCTCCTGGAGTCGAACTGTCTTTGCCTTTGGGGATTTACACTTCTGTTTGTGCAGCTTGGCATTCTTGGTGGGCAGTGGCCTATAAGTAAAAACATGTCCTGTGAATTGAGCAGCATCTTCAGCATTCCAGAAAAACTCAACAGAGGATGAACCACTTCCTTTGCCCACTGTGCCCTGCTCCACTACCAGGGTTCTGTGTGCTTCCAGAACATCCCTCAGTCTTTAGTTGCAAGTTATCCACCATTATTATCCTGTGGATAATAACTTGTTTCTTGGCAGAACCCTGATCCAAAAGATGATGATATTAAGCCAACTTTTATCTAAATCATGACATTTTGATCATTTTTAACTCCTTAAGTATTTCCCTAAGAGTCATTTTGCATGAAATAAGTTCCACCAAAATAATTCAGTCTCGGAAAGTGATGGGAAATAATCTTGTTAAGATGGTTTGTAAGAGAAAGGATCTGCATGCCAATCAAGCCTCAATTCTCACTTTTGAAGGATGCAGAGGCCTTTGTTAACCTTCCTGTCTCCCCTACATTTATTAAAAGCGAATTTCATTATCTTAAGAGACATAGAAGTCACATTTTGTTCACAGAGTGAGAATATTGCAGCCGTTTCATGAAGTCTTCTCGACGGTTAAAAGAGATGATAGGAAATCCTCAGCACAGTGTCTACCAGACAACTGTCAGACAATTGACATGCTCTCTTCTATTCTAATAATAAATGCAAAATATTTAACAATGAGGCCCAATGTCACTGCTGTTATTAATTACAAAAATAGCCACTCCAAGGAGAAAAAAAAATGTATCTGGCTGCAAAAGATTGCCCAGTCGAAGAGACACCCAGTCTCTGGTCCATGAAAAACATACCTGTGTGGTTCTCTTAATATATGAAGTAAAATAAAATTAAACCAAAAGGATTAAATCATAGAATCCAATGTCAAATGATGTAGAGGTTAAAGGGTCTCCAAAGCACATGAAGGCTTACCTCTGAACTCTCTTCTGATTCCTTCTGGCACTTTGATGCCGGATCACTATAGCAACCACCACGAATATGACTGCCAGAGGGAAGAGCACACCAACCACGATGGAGAAATCTACAACAGAGGGCACAGAAACCCTACTGAGGACCAAGAAGCTTGTCTCACTCCAGTTTGCCTCTTTTTATCCTTCCTTCCTTCCTTCTTCCTTCCTTCCTTCTTCCTTCCTTCCTTCCTTCTTTCCTTCCTTCCTTCCTTCCTTCCTTCCTTTTTTATTCCTTCCTTCTCTTCCTGCTTTTCTCTCTTCCTTCTTTTCTCCATCTTTCCCTCCCTCCCTTTCTTCTTTCCTTTCATTTTCAAAAAGAATATGGCCATGTAGGCTAGGTTGGCCTTGAACTCATTGTGTATCCCAGGCTGGTCTCAAACTTGCCATGATCCTCCAACCTTACAATGGAATGCCATTGCATCTGGCCTGACTATTTTATTTGCTGCAAATTATTTCTAACTTTTACAAAATGAACCTGTCTTCCTGGAAAGTTATATTTGCTAATTAACTGTCATCCCATCTGTGGAAGGGGAGGAGGGAAGACCCACCTGGACATAGACTGACATCCCAGTCTGCACTGAAGAGGGGAATGAGCCAAAGACCTCTGGGTACTGCATTCATCTCTCTCTGCTTCCTGAACTGCAGGTACCATGTGACCTATCAGCTCTCTGCTCTCCCATTACTATATCTTCCCCACCGTAATGGACTGTACCCGCAAAACTGTAAACCAAAGCAAGCCCTTCCTGCATTAAGACACTTTTATCAAGTATTCTGAAAAAAAAAAACAAGAAAGAAAGGGGAAAGAAATCTAACAGAGTTGGTAAAATGCAAATGGTGTTGATCATGATCATGGTGCTAAAAGGCAAGTAAAAGTCCATAGGAGATCTTCCATAGGAAGTGAGTTAAATAACTTCTCACTGCAAATTCTTTGAAGGGAAGAAGATTGGCGGCAGCAATAGGAGAGTGAAGCTGGGAGACTACAGGGGGACATGGAATAAGGAGGGTGGCAGAGCGGGAAAATGTATTTTAAATCCAGCCTTGGGATGAAACAAGAATGAGATGGTATTGCCCCCTCGGCAAAGAAAGAGCAGAGGAATGAGTAAAAAATGATAGGACATAGTTCATGCATTGTCTTTGTTTTTACTCCCTAGTCTAAGTAATACATTCAGCCTTGGTCCTTGGCAATCTCAAGGGTTCGTTTCTCTTCTAATCGTCTGAAGTCAACAGAAACCAGAAAACACACACATCTGAAGAGCAGGGGAGCCGCTGCTCTTAGTACGTAGTCCAACAGCAAGACTGACAGTTCCAAAAATACAAGAAAAGCTGACAAGTGTGAAGACAAAACACGCAGATAAAGGTAGACACCCCAGAAAGTAGAATTCAAGATAAGAAAATGGCATTTGTTCAAATAACTAATTCTTTTCAGCTTCCATAAAATTCTTGCTCAAGGAAATCAAAGAAAAACCAAATGCTGTGGCATTTCTGCTAGACATGGCTTAGCTTCAGAATGGGGAAGAGTGGACACATTAGAACTAATGTCAGAATAATACGCATTTTAAAAAACATCAGATCAGAGTACTTAGAATACTGTTAGTGCTTACAAGCACGCTAAATCTGAAAGGACAAAGTTGTGGCTTGAGGTAAAAGAAAAAAATAGTATTATTAACAAACAGTAAGTGGGCAGTTGAAGATAGAAATAATTGAACAGCAAACCTAGTTTCATCTATTGCTAGCCATGGAGGGCTTGATCAGCATAAAGTTTTTACAAAACTTCTAAATCCATGAAAGTTCTAAAACACAGATTTTTTTGTAGATATTAATGAGGTAGTAAGAATTTAGAAAAATATACATGAAAGAGAGTCAGTTTCTTTAATGGCATGACCCCTAGTAGGTCAGCACACTCCAGGGCAGCCCTACCTCCACTCCCAACAGTGAACTAGAAGAGGAAGAAGAGCAGAAGAAGATGATGTCAATGCCTAGAAGTTGGATGGATAGGGAAGGTAAGAGGGTTAAATCTTGGAGGAGTGGGAGAGAGGGGTAAATACTGTTGGAATACTTTGTATGGGATTTTCAACATACTAACAAAAATATAATTTAAGGAAAGATTGAGAGGAAGAGGAAAATGATCCCAGAAAGAAGGTTCAGATGTAACTTGGTGGGAGAGTGCTTGCCTAGCATGTACGAGATCCTAGATGCCGTCTCGAGGACTGACAACCAAAAATGAGAAGCAGGAAGAAGAAGAGGAGGAATGCTTAGAAACACGGGGAATGAGAAAGAGCAAATGAATAAAGAGCAAAGCCTGGTAGGAGCTGTGCTTTGGATGACAATAATATCTCAATATATGTTTATTGGCTGTAACTAATGCACCACGCTACAGTGGGGGTGCAGCGGTGCAAGAGAACCCCTGAACACTGTGCTCAGTGTTGCTATGTATCTATAATCACTCAAATAAAATCTTGTTAAACAAGTAAAGAGATGTGGAAAATTTTAGGACAACTAATATAAGAATGAAAAAATTCACGCCCTCCAAATTCATAAAAAGAGCAAAATGGTGAACAAAATGGCCAACTGGCTTATAATACAACACAAAATTAAATAAAAAAGAGCAAAAAGAAGAAGCTTAGATAAGACAAGACACATAGAAACTGCTCCATATAACTATGATTTGTGTCCCAGCACTTTAGTAATTTGCTCTCCGAATAAATTTTGAAAAATAAATCCAAACCCAAAGGTATGTGAGATAGCAAAAATTTTTTAAATGCATAATTTTCTTAACTTCATAATTTAAATGCATAATATTCAAGTTTCAAGAGGATTAAAAAAGATGAATGTAAATGTGAGGATATTATAAGGATGAATGTAAATGTGAAGATATTATAGCAATACAAACAGATGCAGAATTATGCTTCAGTCGTCCTTGTCTCCAGGAACTGTAGACTTTAAAAGGCAAGCGGCAATAGAGACACACACACAGCATCAGCTCACAATGAAGTCTGTGTTAATCCACTAAGGATACATGACTATTCTAAATATGCATGTGAATAATACCGTGACTTCTAATCAGATAGTCACTGACAGTACCAAGTTATAATATCAAAATTAAGTCAAAGGTCTATTTATTGTTATTTCTGTGTGAGTGTTTAATTGCATGTATGCGTGTGCACCCTGTGAATGAGGCAGAAGAGGATGACGAATCCCCTAGAGCTTGAGCTAGTGCTGGGAATCAAGCCAGCATCCTCCGTAAAAGCAGCAAGTGTTCCTCACTGCTGCACCATCTCACCACCCCTGAAATACATCTTCAGAGTGGCTCTTTTTAAGACTTCTACACGGTAACTGGTAGAACAAAGAAAACAAACTAGTAGCTGGGATTATATATGAGCAACTTGGCACACAGAACACATGTAGACACAGGCGGACACAAGTGTAAACTTCATGTTACTGTGTTTTCTGTTCATACACAGAAAACCTGCACACATGACTATGTGCTAAGCCATAAAGTTAGCTTAAATTAATTTCAGAACACATTCCACATAATATATTCTTTGATTACCATTTAATTGTTGTCCTAAGTATTAACTAAATAACAACTAGGAAAATCCCATTTTCCTACATGTTAGGAAGCAGATGGTGGTAGGGCACTGGTGGGGAGACCCAGAGAAGGGTTCGTGGGATACGTAATAGTCAGCTTCAAATGAACTCTGCTGTATTATATACACAGGGTAGCATAGATAGAAATTCACTGCACAGTTGAAAGATCTGGAAGAAGAATTTACAAGGGCCTTCTACCATAGGGAAATGATGGATGTTCTTCACTGTAGTTTATCTGATAATGTATGTATGCAGCATGTTTACTTTTTTATGCACATATTATGGCCCTTTTGATGTGTAGAAGAAGTTAGTTCTACTCATGTTTCTAGAGTCTATAATAAGTCCCTAGGTAGTGAAGTTGTAACATGACAACTGTGTTTATGGAAGAACTAGAGTCTGTCCAGAGATAAGGCTGACCCTGACTTTACTGGGATGAGAGTCCAATTAAAAACAGTTATTTGCCTAATATATGTCTAACTCTTAAATACTGTACATCGGGCTGGAAAAATAATGGCACGTTTATGTCTGCAAAGCACACTGCTTCCTACTTCTGCACATGAGATGATTCAGTAGAAAAACATGTATGTGGTATGACTTTACAGACTTCACCAAGTAAATTTTAATTATTTCAATCTAAACCAGAAAAAAGCAATAGCAGATTATAAAATAAAACAGAATTATCTCAGCCAAAATAAAAGAAATGATAAATGTTTGAAGAAGCAGTTGTGTTTAAATTGACCTCAACATTACATAATGTAAACATGTATCAAAATACCATATGGTATTTCATAAGTACATATACTCTTATGTTTTTCTCTGTCAGTTAAACAGGACAAAATAAGGCAGTGTATATTCCAATATAGTTATGAAGGTAGACCTGATTTAAAAACCTAATCTTATTTCTGTGGATCCCTTGAAAACATTTCTATTTAACTCTATATAAATAGAGATATTTGGACATAAACATTCTCAAATCCAATCTAGAAAGCTGAATGAATGCAAACTTCCTGAAAGATTACTCATAAGTTTGTGTTCTCAAATTATTTATTGGGCATGAATTTCACTACAAGCATTGCTTATATTAATGGTGACAGTGGAGCCAGAGAATGTTGTGTCTTCTCCAAGCTGAATGACAAGAACCCCCCACTGAATGGTGGACCGTGTGGCCCCTTCCCAGCACTATAACTCTTGCAGCCTGCAGATGTCAGCCCACCCAGCTCTCTGCGCTTGTGGACTGGTTGGGTGATCCACTGGGGGTCAGTATTTCGTCCGAGCTTTATGGAATGGATCAATGGGGATAATGTCAAAATTTTATGTGGAACTTTCACCAACCCAGTAAGAGTTCAGAACTTCCACAGTTGAGTAGATGAATGAAAATAAAGTCTTCAAAAAGAGAAAAATCACACTTTAAGGTTATTTTAGCAAAAACTGGAATCATCGAAGCACTTTCTAATTAAGTAGTTGACTTTGTGACTCTGTTATGAATTATCCTGCAACCCCACCCCAAGCATGATAAATTCAGTTAATAATATATCATATAATAACATCTTATAATGTGAAAAGGTAATGGAGGTTAGAATATTCAGGAAGATAGGAAGTAAAGGAGTCGGGTAAACAAAAGGAGTAAGCTGAAGCATCAATATTAAAATTAAATGTTATTCTTTTGCTTGAAATGCCTAAAATGTATTTGAACTCGGGACAAACAGTTCGTTCAGGCCCATACTAACCATATCACATCTCCATTTCCATCCTCTGTGGTACCGATCAGAATTATATACATATCACAGAATTATATACATATATATATGTATATATAACACAGAATCTCTATCTATCTATCTATCTATCTATCTATCTATCTATCTATCTATCT